AACAATATCCAGCATTATATATTCCAATAGCATATCCCATTTCCGCAGATTTCTGGTAATATTCGAATGCTTTATGTTCATCTTTTTCAACTATTATCCCATTTTGGTAATAATCACCAAGGTTACTTATCGCAGCAGCATCTCCCATATTAGCAGATGCTTGATAATATTCAAATGCCTTATATTCATCTTTTTCAACTCCAATTCCATTTTTATAACAATATCCAAGGTCATTTATAGCAACAGCATATCCCATCTCCGCAGATTTCTGATAATATTCGAATGCTTTCAGCTCATCCTTTTCAACACCTATTCCATTTTGATAACAATATCCAGCATTATATATTCCAATAGCATATCCCATTTCCGCAGATTTCTGGTAATATTCGAATGCTTTATGTCCATCTTTTTCAACTACTATTCCATTTCGATAATAATTACCAAGGTTACTTATCGCAGCAGCATTTCCCATATTAGCAGAATTTTGATAATATTTGAATGCCTTATGTTCATCTTTTTCAACTCCTATTCCATTTTCATAACAATATCCAAGGTCATTCATCGCAACAGCGTATCCCATCTCCGCAGATTTCTGATAATATTCGAATGCCTTCGGCTCATTTTTTACAACTCCTATTCCATTTTGATAACAATATCCAGCATTATATATTCCAGTAGCATATCCCATTTCTGCAGATTTCTGGTAATATTCGAATGCTTTATGTTCATCTTTTTCAACTCCAATTCCATCTCGATAACAATTACCAAGGTTACTTATCGCAGCAGCATTTCCCATATTGGCAGATTTTTGATAAAATTCGAATGCCTTATGTTCATCTTTTTCAACTCCAATTCCATAACGATAATTGTTTCCAAGGAGAAGAAACTGAGAACTTTCTTTGCTCATTTTTAAAGAAAAATTGATCTCGAACGAAGGAGATGCATGTATTATCTATATTTATCATTAAGTTTGTTACACACGCAAATTTATCACATCGTATTTTACTCTTTTTATATTGTTAGTTTATCGTTATTAATGTTTATTAACATTAATCTATCAATATCGATTGATACAATCAGTATGTTTCATATAATGTTAAATTTATACACATTACTCTGGTTATATCGACACCTCAAAATATATATATATATATAAATAAAGAAATTATTAGATAAATCCAGATGTCGGTTTAACCAGAGGTTAAACCTATTTATCCTGAATATTTATTATTTGTTAGCGAAGAAATAGAAATATTTTTAGATTATATATATGAGATGTCAGTACCTTTTGAGCTCGTTCAGTAATATAAAAATTGTGTTCCCTTTCCCTCCGTAGTACAAACACATTAAATAATAAACTTTCTATTTTCGGTAAATTTGCTTTAATTTTAGAGCCAAAATTAAGGTCATTTTTAGGATTAGAAAAAAAAACAGAAATTATACTAAAATTTTGCAAGGAATTTTTTTTTTTTGTTAGAACATAAAGGATGCTTTTTTGGGGCAAAATTTCAAGTTACTAATGATTTTTAACCCTAAAAAAATACAGACAAATTTCGCATTACACCTGATCTTGTGATCTATATATAAATTTTCTTTTTTTGGTTTGTATCACGATTGAAATAAGTACAATTCTCAGAACTAAAATAATTTACAAAATTAGAGATCAGTGACCAGTAAAAGATGAGAATTTTTACGTATCATACAAATGGTAGTAAAAAGAATGACCGAAATAATTGTGCAGGGTAAATCCAAATGATTTTTTAAAAGCGGATTTTCCAAATTAGGCCTTTTTACGAGTCCCCAGATCCAGCAGCAACGACACTTAAATGACTATTACAAAGACAGTCAACTGATCAGTCCGTCCTACAAAGTACTCTTAAACTTAAAAATATTAATATAAAAAAATTCACGTCTAACTTATTACCCTACCTCTCAACTGATTAATTTTTTATAATATCAGCTCATTACGTAGCTAAGCTTTAATCCAATGTAATGAATGATGTAGTTATTACAGTATAATTTATTATTAATGATCTAACGATTTTCCCGTCCCATCAATTGGTTAATACCTCAAAATCCGCCGATATGGTAAGTCAAGGAATAACAATAACACCGGGTAACTTATTTAAACAATTTAATTGATAATCCGTTTTCGAATGAGACAATCATATATAAACCTATATGGTAAATTGTAACGCATTTTACTACGTATAAGTTTTACTATATAAACTATATTTGTTTTCATTAGTCGAAAATCGGGTTCTATTAATATCTCTGCATCTATTAATCAGATTTTAATGATCATACTACCATTAAAATCAGAAAATGATGCTTTACAAGTTTACTTAAAAATTGAAGATATATTTACCGTACAGCGTGGACTAAAATACCCAGGGTATTTTACAATTTAAGCTGTATATATAGGTATTATAGTCGAAGGGATACTATGGTCAGTGTAGGGGGTATAAGTTACACTATATGTGTGCTGCAGTAATATGTTATATACTAAGTGCAATTAATCCATCTTTAGTACCCGGATATTTTACATTCACAAGTGCAATTAATCCGTCCTTAGTACCCAGGGTACTTTACATTCTAGGCCTCCGAAAATCGTGAGGGGTATTATAAAAAGGGGTCTTTTAGTCCACGCTGTACGGTACTTAATAGAAAAATGACTTTACTTTGTCGTGAAGTGGCATTTATGGCTTAGCAATTTTATATAGTAAATCATAAAGCGGATTATCAAATAAAGAACTTTTTGAAAATGTAACGTTTCATTAATAAAAATTTACATAAAGCTCATTTCTAATTTCGAAAAAACGCTTATCGTTATATTTATTGTGCAAAATAATCATAAGATAATCAACATTCTGAGAACTTCACTCAGAAGTATTCTCTATTTATTACTACTGTATACTAGCTATACATAAGGGTTAAATGCTGGAAATAGTCAACTAAAAAGGCCAATTGAAACGTTACGTTGAAGCATTAATCTTGAAAAACATGTCGTAAAAATATTGCCTGTATTATTTTAATAATAATTAACTTAATACTTACTATATAACTTGTGCAATAATTAATACTAGAGTTTAACCAGTTGTAATCGTGGTTTGGGTTTACTTTAGTAGTAGATCAATACAGCAATATTGTTTCGTTGATTATATGAACTAGACGCGTTTCTAGAAAATAAAATAGAATTACATTTTGAATATAAAATTAAATATAAAGCTTCGCTAATAATGATAAAAGTTAACATGCAAAATTTAATTTTTGATTGATCTATAATAATGTTTTGATCGACATATTTACAAATTAAGGGGTCCGTAATATATTGATGTAACATACTGTATAAATTATGTTATTGATGTCTATATAAATCATTAACCCTAACTTTATCAGAAAAGTAATTCTAGCTGCATCAAAAAAAGCAATTTCAACACATTTGTCCCCCCAAATTAAGTAACTAAAAAAACATCCATTTTAAGGTTTGAGGAGTAAAATCGATGCATACATATCAGATACGTAACTTAATGTAAAAAGGAGTATAAAATATACATATATTGTTCATCATAAGCTCCATGTGTAACAGTAGCGCGTTGATGAACAAGAAACAGGAGGAACCGTCGATGTTACACGACTGATTCTTCACCCAGTGACCCAGTGCGAAACATATAAAAAAATCATTTACAATACCAGATCATTCCGCTAGTACATGTTATGATTATAATCCCACACCATTTTATTATAATAAAAATGGTATCGGATTATAATCATAACATGTACTAGCGGAATGCTCTGGTGTTGTAAAATGATTTTTTTATATGTTGCACACCGGGTGAAGGATCAGTCGTGTAACATCCTGTTGCGCTGATGATGCAGATGCCTCGTTTGATAGCAATTTACTTTAATTTTACTATTATATGAGTCGGAATGATTGAATGATTTAAGGAAACTCAGGGTTATTAATATACAAACAAATGGTTAACTATCATAGAAGCCTATGTTGTTATTTCAGATGTAAAAAAGACAAGCAACGTTTGCAAAAAAACTTTTGAACGAATTCCTACTTTTTTTGTGGCACCTGGTTTATTTGTTTCACCCATAATTGTTAATTGGTTATTAATAAACCTGGAAAACAAATAAATTTTAATAATAGAAAGTTATAACTTGCGGTACAAAAGCTTTATTCTAGAAATTTTTGCTATTAAAGTACAAGAAAAATGAATCGAAAGATAGAAAATCCAACCACATCACCGATAGAAAATACAACCATATTACCGATAGAAAATGCGATCACATCTTCAAAAGTTTATAACCTTAATGATTAGAACGCCAAGCTCATTATGTTAATTCTTCTGAAACTGATCACTATCTTGAAAATGATCACAGCAACTTCCTCTCTTCGATGATTGATACTGCTAAAGACCCGTTACCTTGGAAATGCATTTTGTACTTTGTTTTTATTAGTACACCATTTTCCCTTTTTGCTTTTGCTTGGATATGGGGTACATTTTTCGCTGCAGTCAGCACTTCATTTATTCCTTTTATGGCTTCTTTCTTTTGGTGGTTATGGACTTTGAGTTGGAGGTATATTATATTTATTGTCAAAAATTATTTCAATTTTTATAATAAATTAGATAAATTTCTTTTTACACACTCTATTAAGGTCTTTAGGTGCAATTGAGATTCTTTCAATTCAACTTTGTCATGGTGCTGACCTTGAAACACTACAGATTCCTAATATATTTGGTGGAATTAGTGAGCTTAATGAATTGAAAATGTTTTTCCCACAGATTCTATATGATAAATATACATGGAGATGTTTTACTTATTTTGTTCTTATAAAATGGTTTGTTACATTATTTACTTGTGCATATGCTATAGTTTTAATGGCATTCTGGTTCCTTCCTCCTTGTTTACCTCTTAGTGGTAAATTATTTATAGCCTTGGGAAAAATGCAGTATAATCTTACTAAGCAATTTTTCTTTAGTGACAAAGATTTTTAAACATTTTATATATGGTTATATACGAATTTCATTAATTTTATTAAATTAATTTCTTTCTAATGCATTATTAAACAATTCAATAATTCTGTAATCTATAAGGTATAGCGCTTAAAAAATGGGGTTCAAGTAAAATTTAATAAATTTTATAGAGAAATTCTATTTTAACTCGGGTAAAAATGATTCAACAGGGGTATGTTTATATATAATACAAACTATTACAAAGTCTATAATAGCTTGTCTATACAATACAAAACAGCAAAAATCATTCGATATTTTAGTAATTGTTTAAAGTCTAATAACTTTATAACAAATAATTATTTTAAACTAGACTACAAATCTGTAAAGAAGATGTTTAATATCTTGCTTTATCTTCAGATGCTACTTTGTGAGGATATAATACTATATACTATACATATCACGAACATATTACTGTATTTTAATAAGAGTAAAGTCTAATTTGCTTTTAATTTAGACTTAACGAGTGTGTAAATTGATTTATCATGTTTTATTTATTTATAAGACTAGAATTTTCTTTATTATAAACGTAAATTTATTAATATCTATACATACAAACTGACTTTGGAATTCATGATATTAAATCACTCTTATACTTAGTTTTACAAAAAAAAAAAGGTAGTATATAGGGATGGAATCAGCCGACTTAACCATGGCTTTAAAGCTAAACTGTCTCAAGCCGGTTTAGTTGGCTTAAACCAACTTTAAATCACTAATTTGAAAAAAAATTGTAAGATTTTATAGTAATTCTAAACATATGTATTTTATCTTACAGTCGACCTTGTCAATTAATCCTGTTAAACCCAATAACCCGCATAGAAAGACATTCGTATGAATGGCTAATATAAATCAATCATCCAGGTAACTTATTTATACACTTTAAAAGTACAAATACTTTTTGAGAACCTAACGTTTCACTAAAAATTATCCTAAATACCACCAATACGTGAAAAAGAGTGTCAACGTTAACTATGTAAAAATAGGATGACTCAAAAATATCATCGAGTTTGATCAGATGGTTACTGAGAAATTCCACAATCCACGCAAAATTGGTTGCAACAATTGATTGGTGGCGCAGTCACAATGAGCCAATTATTTACAATTTTGGTGCGATGAATTATTTGCATGACAAATAAGAGTTCACTAATATGATTAATTAGCAAATTCTTATTTGTCACATACAATGATTTATTGCAATTAATTGTAAGCAGCAACACAAAGAATAGCACTTACCTTATTTGTTTCTAAATTGCTTTTCTAAATAAATATAGCTGATCATCATCGAAAATAGCTTTTACTTTTATCACTCGTTCTATCAATTATGCCCCTTAATCCTAAAACAACAGCTGTGTTAGTCATTGATATGCAGGCGAGTTATAACAAAAATTGAAATTGTCTAAAATTTAATCACCTTATAATACTAATTTTCAATACTAATCCTCAACTTTTTTTTTAACAGGAATACTTTCGTGATAGTTCTAAAGAAATTATTGAAAATATAAAGTCACTTGTAAAAAAATGCCATGAGAAAGATATTCCCGTTTTTTGGACACAACATGGACATAGAAATATTGAATTTGATGGAGGATCATTAGCACGATGGGTATAGTGCTAAACATATTCATTAACCATATGAGAGAAGTATTACTTAATTTCGAGACAGAATATGCTAAATTTGGAATTTGTTAAATACAGAGATTTCTGCTATTCAGAGAAATTAAGTACTCTTCTTGTAAAAAATAACTTGAATAGAAAAAAAAATTAATGTTGTACTTTTTTTTGAAATTTAAGTGGGGAAAAGATAAAAGTATTAAATGGGGATCTAAAGATTGGGAGATATTACCAGAATTACAGTCGCATGTCTTGGTTAGTAACAGATAATATGGTTAAAGTAGTTTAGTGTGAATAAAAGAGAAAGGATGAAACATTAAAGCAACTTTAATTTATGCGGTCTTCAAGAGAGTAAATCCAAAATTTTGCTTTTGGGAATTTAACCAATTACTATTGCTAAATTCCACACCACTAGTACCAATTCAATTATTATATTTATTAAACTTTTTTATACTGTACTATTATCCAGCGATCCCCTACATCAGCTAATGTACTCGACTTTACCATCACAAGCAAGACCCGATATGATGCTTTCTACAAAACTGAACTAAACTCCTTACTTACCTCTCTCGGTATCGAAACACTCATCATATCTGGCGTTTTGACAAATTTGTGCTGTGAGACGACTGCAAGAAGTATACACATGATTATTTACATACTATGAAAAGAAATCCATTTGAACGAGCATATTATTGATGTAATTTTTTTCAGGTGGTTTTAATCAAGACTATAATATTATCTTTCTTGATGATGCTACTGCAGCGGAGAGTGAAGAGATGCATAAGGTGATTGAATTGTTCAATAATAAACATTGGATTTAGGGCCTTTTTTAAAAAACTTTTTTAAACCATCTATTTTTCTTTTACTTAAAGGCTTCAGTATTGAATTTGAGATACGGATTTGCTGATATCTACGCCGTGAAGGACATTAGCAAATGGCTTTAGGGTAGATTTAATATTTACTTTTACAATTTATTTTTATAATTTATTTTTATAATTTATTTTTTACAATTTACTTTTACGAATTTTTAATCAATTCAAACAAAGAAACCAATGATTAAATTTCTTCCTAATTTATTATGTTACTCAGTTTTTTAAAATTGAATCAGTTTAAAAATTCTGCGAATTTTTTTGGAGAAAATTTTAAATTGAAATTGCTTGCAATTTTTCTTTTATATTTAGATTAGCACAAAATAAATATTTCAAAAACTCTAAAAGCTAAACGTAGTGAAAATGGGATTAAATTGTAATTAATTGAATAGGCAAGAAAAATAGGAATATTGACCAGGAAGTAATTAAACAATTATCGATAATATACACTTGCCAATCATTAAATTAGATTGCTCATTCACATATAAAATTATAGCATTTATAAATAAATTTGAGCATTGTATTCTTTTTTTTTCTTTTTATCCATTTTTCAATTTCATTTTTTCCTGATAGATCCAATATATACAAAAGCCTGAAAAAGCGCATAAGGTTATAAAATTTGCATTTTGAAATTTAATATTAATGTTTTGAATGCTTTTGAATTAGTGATTGAATTTGCAGACAATTTGTATGAAAAGTTTTAGATAGTCAATATAAAATTCATGAAATTATTGGATGAGGAGAGTATCAGTAGTAAATTCAGTGCTTTTTAAAAAGAACATGCACTAAAGGGTCTAAACAATAATCTAAGTTTATCAGGAACAAAGCAATTGAAATCACATGTATATATATATCGATATAAATTTGAAATGTCGTGCAAATAGTAGCGCAACCAAAATTCGACTTTCTTGGATTATGCAGATGAAAAAATTGGTTAAAACTAGGCGCTTGAGTTGCTTAAAGGGAGTTAGAAATGAGTGTACTATAACAGATATTGTATTATACTACTCATGTTAGAATTAGGCTCCAGGGTTGCAATAGCAATGCAAGGACCTAATGTTATGATTAGGCTGCAAGGAATGTAAGAACTTTATGTTTGGTGATTTAGCTCCGCAACTATTATAACAGTTCAAGAACCTCACGTGTGATTAGGCTCCGTGGCTACGATAGCAATGCAAGGACCTCGTGTTGTGATTAGATCCTATGGATGCTACGGGCAGTGAAGAACGGCATGTTTGGCAATTAAGTTCACAATTACAATAGCAACACAAAAATTTTATATCGTTATTAGGCTCCGTGGCTGCGATAGAAATGCAAGAATCTCATGTTATTATTAGCTTTATAGCGGCCATATGACAGCAGCACAAGGACCTTATTTGTGATTAGGCTTCATAGTTGCAAAAGCAATACAAGAACTTCATGGTGTAATTAGATTTTGTAGTTATAGCAATGCAAAAACCCTGTATTGTAATTAGGTCTTGTAGTTACAATATCAATGCAAGGATTTTATGTTGTGATTAGGTTTTATAGCTGTCACAAGCAGTGTAAAAACTTCATGTTTGGCAATTAAGTTTTGTAACTACAATAGCAGTGCAAGAACCTTATAATTAGTTCTGTGATTGCAAGAATCTTATGTTGTGATTAGATTCTATGGTTGATGCAGGCAGTATAAAAACCTCATATTTCATAATTAAGATTTGTAACCATAATAGCATTACAAGAATCTTATATTATAATTAGACTCTATAACTAATATAGCAATATAAGGATCTTATGATGTGATTAGTTTTTTAATTACTATAGGCAGTACAAGAATTTTATTTTAGTGATTAAACTTCATAACTATAATAGTAATACAAGTATCTTATATTGTAATTAAGTTCTGTAATACAACAGCAATGAAAAACCTATTTAGTTTTTTTAAAAAGATTATAAAACAGAAAGAATAACAAAAAAAAAATTAAACTAATAGGTAAAAAAACTTGAATAATATATAAGAATAAAATTATTTTGAAAAGATAAAACCTAAAATTAAATTTGAAAATGAATTTTTTTTTTTTAAATATTAATGATAAGGCCATGCTTTTAACTTTATTGAAATTCGATTGAAGTTTTTACAAAGAAAAGCTTGCTTTTAAATTACATATAAAGAATAAAGACTCAGACATATAATCTGCAACCTAAATCTACAAGAATGATCAAGGCTCATCTAGATTTGGGTTTGAGTAATAATATAAGAAAGATGGGTATGTTATTTAATCTATTGAATAGTTCAAAGATCAATTTTAGTAATAATTTGTGATATTGAAATAGAAAGTAAAAGTAGACTAGAAGAATGACTATGAGTTGAGTTAGTAGAAAGTGTAATTTGAGACTGTGCAGAATATGAAATACAGTATGAAATCTATATTTATTTGTATATTTGTTGGTTTAAGTAAAGAAAAAGTTTAATAACAAGACTAATAGCAGTATAGTAAGAAATAGAAGCATTGTAGATAGTAAAAATAAGAAAGATAAAATTTTTAATATTTTTTTAAATAAATAAAATTATAAGAAATATAAAATATAAATTAGATTTATGAAAATGAAATAAGTTTTTTTTAAAAAACTATTTTTAGATAATTGATAATAAATCTTATATAAAAAACTTAGTAAAAACAACAAGCTTAGCTAAAAAGGTTTTTTTTAGAAAAAAGTTAAAAAATTACAAATATATTTGATTAAATATAAGCTTAAACAAAAAGAAAAATTTACAGCCAATTCTTGCTATAGTTATGTAGTTAGAATAATAGTAAGTTTGTAGCAATATAGTTATAAAGAGATTATGCTTATATAGAGGTCTTTTTATACTTTCATAGTAATTTGTTTTATAAAATGATGTGCTTATATAAAGATATAATTATATAAAGTGTGAATATATAAAGATCTAACTATATATGTAAAGTTGTTAATTAACAAAATAATGAGAAAAACATTTAAATTAAATAAAAAATAAATAAATATATAATTTAGCTAAATTCTTTTTTAAGCAAATAAAAATTATAATTATAATGACTTATTTATTACTGAATAACAAATAAAAAATTCAAAAATTAATAATTAACAAGTATATTAAATTACTACAAAAAACATAAATAATAGTTATAAATAAAAAATAACAACTCTTTCTAATGATCATTTAGACACAAAAGCAGCTAAAAAAAGAATATTTCTGCAAAATTGGCAATAAAAAACATCTTAAACAGCTCTAAATAAAAAGAAGAGACAATATAAAAAATAATTTTTTTTTTTTAGTATTAAGATGAGGCCTTGCTCATATCTTTATTAGTAATTTTAGTTGTACATATTAATATACTATATACTAAGATATACTAAGATTGTAAACTACAAAATAAAAACTATATGCAAGAATTAAAGCTCAGACAGTTTTATTTGTGACCTAAACTGACTATGGTGGTCAAGGCCTATCTAGATTTGTAATGTTAAAATGTGGTTGTAAGATGTGTTATGATTTATCCAGAGTGTTGACCATATATTGATTTTCCTAGTAGCTTGTATAATTGGTAGGCAGATATTAGAACATGAATGTAATTGATCTGCTATTCTATATAAACATGAGTATGTATAGTTTATATGTGATCTCTTGTAATATCTAATTTGCTGTATTTGTTAAAGGGTATATTATTATTAGGGCTTAGAAAAGATGTAATGTTATTATCTTTTTTCTAGTCAGAAAAATGAGATGCAGTAAGGTTTTCATATTTAATTATAGATTTGGTTGTTAATATTAAGATGTATTTGAATAATAGTTTGTGAAGCTATTTTAATAGCTATGTTATAGTTATGAATTATTTCAATTAGGGCTTTAGGTATAAGGCCTTTAAGAGTAAGGTCAAGATAGAAAGAGTTTGCTTGAAATGGTATTCAGTCAAATGAAGGATGATTTTGAATTTTGTGAGTAAGTTTATATAATTGACTAGTAGATAAGTTAAGATCTGTTTTAAATAAAATGTGCTAAATTAATAAATTAATAATGTTTATAACAAGAAATGAATTAGAGCAAGTTAACCAGTATAGTGAAAGTCAGGAAGATTGCATTGAAAGCAGTTGGTATTTGGAAAGATTATTGGATAAGTATTGTGATAAGAAAACTATATTGGTAATTGATTCAGAAGGACTTTAATTTTGAAGGTTTTAGATTGGTTGAATTTAAAGCTAGTAAGATTAGATGTGGGTTTTTGATTATGATTAAAATATAGCCATGTGGATTTCCAGTCTATATAGTGGTTAATATAACCCATTTATTGCCAGTATATATGCTTTACAGATATTTTTAACAAAATATCTAATAGGAAGTTCGACAAAATTTTGTTCTCATTGTAAAATATGAAAAGAATTGTAAATATTTGTATATTGAAAGTTTAAGGGTAGGAAAAATGTATGTTGTTTTGCTAGAGAATCAGCAATATTATTAAAAGTATTATCTGTATAGGCTTGAACTTTGTGAAAGTTAATATTTAAATTAAAGGACTTGATAATATTAAGGAGTGTATGATATAAAGGCCATGTGTTGAATTTAAAGAGTTTGTTAGGATTATTAAGTTGAATAAAAAGTTTGTAAAATTTAAAGATGACAGATTATAAATTAGTATAAATTTGAAGTGTTGCATTACAGAATACAGTTGAAATTGTTGATAAAATAAAAAGAGTTCTGCTTTATAGGTTGATGTCCAAAAGTGAATTTTAGCTGAGAATTTATGGAGAATTTGGTTATCACTGTTGACTTGAACTCATCTAATGCCTATTGAGCTTTGTTTAGTTCCAATATTGATTACTGATTCATCTGTATAAAAAATAAATTCCTTATATGACAGATTGTTTTGAAAAATTTCCTCAAGTTTGTTTGTGCATTCATTAAATTTGAAAATTTTAGTAATAATTAAATTTGATATATTGATAGTAGGATAGTTATATAGAATTCATAAAGAATGTTTAATTGCTATTGAATAAATAAGGTTCAGGTAGTTAGCATTAAGTTTGAGTTTAAAGGTTTTTCTTTCCAGAAAGCTAGTACA